GTTACTTCCCATCTCTGGCAATATCTACATAGGTCTATAGAGGCCCATTTCCAGCAACTATCACTCCAGTGTTCTAATGGTACAATGTGGTTGTTCATTGGCTCAGAAGGCTAATTGATGATTAGAAAACCCTTGTGCAATCATGTTCACACATCTGAAAACAGTTTAGCTCGTTACAGAAGCTACAAAACACACCTTCCTTTGAGCAGATTTCTGGAGCATCACATTTGTGGGGTCAATTAAACGCTCAAAATGGCCAGAAAAAGAGAATTTTCATTTCAAACTCGACAGTCTATTCTTGTTCTTAGAAATAAAGGCTATTCCATGTGAGAAATTGCTAAGAAATTGAAGATTTCCTACAACGGTGTGTACTACTCCCTTGTGAACCAACTAGTTGCAGTGAGCTTTGGAGCTTGGACTGACCTAGAAGCATGGTCAGCTGGGTTATGCTCTGTAGGCACATACTTCCATTGGTTTGGTTCTGTAGACTGCCGGATTCGCTGAACCCTGTTGTGGACATACACATAAAAGCGTTTTGACTGATTATGAATATAGCCCAGCACCACTTTACTGTCACAGTAGAACGTGACAGCATCAACTTGAATGTTGATCTCTTGAACAATGAGTTCAGCCATTTCTACGGCTAGCACTGCTGCACAGAGTTCTAATCTGGGTATGGTTAGTTCAGTTGGAGGTGCGAGTCTAGAATCTCCCAGACGAACCCCACATGTATCCCACCATTTTCATCTTTAGTCTTCAGGTATACTACTGCATCAGTGACTTTGGTCAACGAGTCTGAGAAAACACATAACTCCTTCCATCTGGCATTGGAGCAAGAAGTAATAGTATAAGTTTGAGGGCTGTGAAGATGTTGCAATTCCTGTAGCAAATCTCCTTTCTTCTCCTTTCTTTGCTGCTCTTCTGAGACAATTGGCTGCCACAGCTGGAAAAGGGCAGTTGCCAAATATATGAACCCTCATTCTGTACTCGATGATGTCCTGACTTCATTACCTCTGTACTAGAGGAAACGTAAGTACAATTAAACAATGAAACATCTGTTAGATTTCGGGCATGACTGCAACTTGCTCTCTTCTGAAACTGATGAGAACTCCCAAAAGACTATTATTCAAGTCTGGTTCGCTGATAGCACGTTGTTTGGGAGATGCCACTGTATTGAGCATATGAATCGAACACAACCCTGATTTTTTCAAGTTTCCTCGGATGATAGACCCCAACCATCAGCAAGTACCAGCACTCTTCCTTTTGGTAATGGTGAATGCTCGGTCCACATGATTGTTGTCAAATATGTTTTACATAAAGGCAATAAACTGGTTCTTTTTCAAGATTCAGTGCTTCAAGGTTTTGCTTTGTCAACTTTAATGCTGAACTCTCTCTGGGCGAACAAAACACATGCATGAGCTGCTTCTACTTTGGCCCTAGCCCGTCCTGCTGCATAACTGACTGATGATGCACATGAGCATTTTGAACTTGAAGCAGCACTTTTACTGCTCTTAATTGACACTTCATCTTCAGTAGGCTTCGGGTCTTTTAGTCTTGCACCTGTGTTTTGTTATTCATCCACATCTGTTAATGTAGCTGCTTTAATCCTGTTCAGCCAGCTGCAAATGTCTTTTTACCAGTCTGCTCTCCTTGTGTGTATTCAACACAATTTAGCAGTAAGCCTAACTGCAGTCGAATGGATATGTGATATTCATTACTTGCACTGTTTTTCCACAATGTCACTATCACTTTATTTGGATTTTTAGTTATGCATATACATATAGAGTTATATGTGTATATATTTAATTATTTTGTGTGGTTTGTTGTATGTATATATATATAAACTTGTTGTCATGGTTGAATTGGGGATCTTCTGTTTTCTTGTCATTACAAAAAAACGCAATGCTTATACATGTCCAACTCTTAATTACAGTTTTTAAAGAATTATAATTTAAGGACTTACAATAGAAAAAGAAGGCCAATATAAAAAAAAAGAATAAAACTTTTTTTCTGAACCTGTATCTATAGTATAGAGGTAGATATTTATCTAGTCATATTATTTAATTGATTGCTCAATTGAAGTGATTAAAATATATATTTGATATTTTATTATGAAAAAATATATATTGCATGTTTTCATCTGCTGATGAGTTCCAAGAACATCTAATCTGTGGTTGGCATGAAGGTTACAATCTTTTTTCTGGTGTTGCAAAATGCTAAATATAAGATAACCATCATTAGACAGTTAGTTGCAACATGAATGTTGTGTCAGCAAATTTATTTTGTGGTCACTCTAATAAAAAAGTCCTGTCAGGTCTATAAATGAGGAAGACAGAGTTTTCTCACAGTAAAACTTCATCTGCTAGTTTGGGTAACACTGACCAAAAGCTGGAGTTGTGAAAACAATTTAAAATTAAAAATCCTTCTCCATTTGAGATTCTGATCATTTCTTTTTCGAACATAAAAATGAAAACCTTAGTTACATTTATTCATATTTTCTATGTTTTATTTCTCTGTTACATTTTTGCTGACAGGGAGAAACCGTTTCAGATGGATCCTTCTGAGCTTCGGACTTCTCTGCATACTTCAAGTTACTCTCAACATTTCTCTGCGTCTGACATTTTGTAAGTTACCAAAATCTGTCTTCATTTCATCCTTCTTATAAATCCATAAAAACATAATTCCAAACTTTAAACAAAAACTAGTCTAAGACAACCCCATGTGCAGTTTTCACTTTGATCAACAGCAGAACCAGTTTCCTTCCATCCTGGTTCTATAAAACTCCAGGAACCAGCAGGGGTGACTGTGGAATCTGTAGACAGAGTATTTGTTTTCCAATCAGAAAGTTAGGGATTTGATTCCAGCTTTCCTCCAGCTATTTGCTGATGTTTTCTTTGGCAGGACAACAAATTTAAGTTGCTGATTGATCTGTGTATTGCTGTATGAATATTTGTGAGTGTTGTTGGGTGAATGTGTCTTCAATGTGAATAGTTTTTTAGTGGTTGCTATGATAAGAAAATCAGAATCAGAATTGCTTCATTACAGTAGAGAGAAATATAAGATTGTATGAATAACAGAGAAAAATAAAATATATTAAAACAGAATAAAATAAGTAAAATTAAATCACCCACAGTAAAATTACACTCTTCCCATGTAAACAGTGGGGAAACATCTTCTAGGAAACTTCACATCCAGTTGCCTAGATTAAATTTTTTCAAGCATGACCATGACCTGGATGACTGAGAATCTTCACAGATATATGTCAATAGCCCCATTTACACTACCCTTTTGAAACCTTGCTGAGATCAGTGCGAGCATGGTAACAGAGATGGCATGCACAACTGACCCAGACCGCACCAGACAAAACGGAACAGCGCTAACATGGTACTAGTTCTTCAGTAGGGCTTGGCGCGGTTCAGTTCTGGCTCGATTCTCAGATAACGAGTGCATGAGCAGAATGCAGCATCTCCTTACAGTCAGCCTCCGTAATCATGGTATTTCATCAATTCATGAATATACTAGCTTCCCTACCACATGATTTCAAGCGATTATTCTGCTTTGCAGTGTAATGAACCTCAACATCTGTTGTTGTTTCCTGTAAGCCCTGATTAGACTATCGTTTTTTTAAATCCACTTCCCAAAAGCCGACTCTGTCAAGCAAATTCACCAAAGGCTGCCTTCTTCGCCTGACTCTCCGCAAACTTCCTGAATATTATGGGCGCCACCATGTTGGTTTGCTTGTTTATATCTAGAGATCAGTTGTACCGTAGATCATCACTAGGAGGCGAGGAACCATGCTAGTGTGGAGTTTAAATAGTCGTAAGGAACCAAGCTCGGTACAGTTAACTGATACAAGCTCGGGATGGATTGGTTTTGAGAGGGTAGTGTAAATGGGGCTTATGTCTATGGACACGCACACTACAGCAACCGACAAACGAAATATGGTGACAGCAGGTTTTTGAGCTAAGCAATATATGGCATTGGTGTGGACTTCATGCTGAGGACGTCGAACCAAAGGTGGTTTGTATGACATGCTGCAAAACGATTGCTGCAAAAGGTTGCAGTACACATTCAATCCACCGCCTAAAAAGTCATCCTCTGCAAAATGAAGAATGCTGTAAACTCTGCATGTCTCCCCGCACACCAAATAAATTGTTAAATAAATCAGATGTGAAGCAGAAGATGTTGGTCACCTCATTTGAAAAAGTGAACCCTTATGAGTACGTACTCGCGTTCTCGTCAAGTCCGTTCTTGGCGAGAACGCAGGAAGATCGGACTTGACGAGAACGTGAGCACGCAAGCACGTATGCGTATTGGAACAGAAGCGTACTCGTGACGTCATCACATGCAACGTTCTTTAGCATTTCTTTAACAGTCAAAACTATTTATTCCCTACACAAAACATTTTGAAAACAATATTTTTAATTTCTAAAGCTTAAAAAACATTTAAAAAAATTACCGAACCGCAAAAAACCGCCATCAGAACGAGCTGTAGTTCACACATAACTAGACCGAGAGAAGTGCACTACAGACGGGGTAAATTTAGCCCTGGCTGCGGTTACCCTCGGAGGTCTGCTGGTCACTCTGGTACGCTCAACGTTGGACTTTTTTTTTTTATTTCGCACTAACTCTGTAAACAGACCACACAGGGAGGCTTAAATGTATAATGTTATCGCCTCAAATGATTTCAAAACGTACTTTTGAAGAACAACAGCAGCAGAAAAGGGAATGTTTAACTTAACACTGTGAACGCTGTCTCGAATCAAGCTGCGGCCACGGGGCATTCTGGGGAAGCGGTCAGTCTGAAGAACGCACAAGTCTGCTCTGATGCATTCTCGATAAAGAGGGCGGGGCGAGAACAACATCCGGGGATTTGATGCGTTCTCGATCTGGCGTTCTCGAGAATTGGAACGGTACTCGGGCTGAGGCTGATGACGTGTCACGAGTACACGAGCACACAAGAACGCTCAAGAACGCATATTGAGAAACGCCCAGTGTGTGGTTCTAGCGTCGCCATGGTAGCCACTTCATTACCCCAACTGCTGCGCAAAGAGCTATTTCCGGGTCACGTAAACTGTACCGATTAAATATTAAAATCAAATTCTGCGTTGCTGTCCGTTTTTCCATTTCATATTCTTGATCTGAGCTTAGAATTGATATATGAAAAACAAATCACTTTTTCGTTTTTGGTTTAACCATAAAAAACAAAAAACAAAATAACCAGTCAATTTTTTATTTTTTGTTTTTTGATTGGCAATTGAAAATGGAAAGAACGAATGATACACGGATTCATTTATTACGTTCTGTTAATGTTCTCAATTTTACAAGTTTTTGTGCTTCTTTAAAATTCCTTAAAATCTCAGCATGTAAAGATTAGTGCAAATAGTTTTGAGATGCTCTAATAACACACTTTTTTTTTTGTAATTTAAGGTCAATTTCTTTTTTGATACTGCAGTTTTTTTTTATTACTCGCAACAAAGCCCTGATTTATTTTACATTTTATTTAGTATTGTTGTTTTTTGTTTTTTTTTTCCCCGTTTGGTTGCTGGCATCTTGTTAAAGATCTAATACTGAGACCGAAAGACAATATGACAGAATTTTTTCTGAAAAGCTTTAAGCTGGTTAAAATAAAATGTTTTAAATCTAAAACAAAAAGTTTGAAAGAGTATATTAGTACAATTTCATGCACGCTATTACTAAATGGTACTAAATTACTAAGGTAATTTAAGCATGTTGTGATATATACTGTGTATTGCGAATATAGCTCAAATATATCATAAGTCTAAAGTCTTAATATCACATTTTCTTCATATTGCACAGTCCTAGATTTGAGTCACCTTTTTCAGTCCAACTTGTGTGAATAAACTTTCATTTTACATCACAGATAGGTGCCCCGGCAGAAACTTCACCATAAAATCCACCAAGAAACCTGATCTGAACCCGGCTTCACAACCCACAGAGGACCCATGTATAAACCATACTGCAGAGGTTTATCAGCTTAGGATGCTGATGTGTGTTTCTGGGAACATTACCGAACCAGCTAATGTTGATCTACAAAAATGTGAGTAAAACTTGGTGTTATTTTCTTAAGTCTGGCCATCGAAACATGGCCTTGTAAGTAAGTTTAATGTATTTCATGATTTTGCTACAGAACAAAATATATATATATATATATATATATATATATATATATATATATATTGAATAAAAACAAAAAATCTTTTCTATGATATAGTAGATATGAACACATCTCCAGTAGATCACAAGAATCAGTACCTTTCTTTCTTCCCAGTGATCTGGAACACTGCTGACTGGAAGGTTTAGCTTCTAGTGGGCAGTTGGCAAATCAGACCGACACTATATTCCCAGAGGTCTGGGAATATAGTGTCCAAATGTCTCTCAAAAATTTGGAAGAGGTTGGTTCATGTCAGATAACTTCTGAGTTTTACTCAAGCATCTAACTGTCAAAAGTAAAAAAAAAAAAATTATCAAAAATCATATCAAAAGATTGATACACAGATTTAGCATTTTACAATCAGAGATCACAGAATGACTAGTGACTTGTCTAAAGTAGGATCTCATAACCAAATTTCTCCATTGCATTTAACATGATTAGGCCTGACTTACTTTGTAATAAACTTCAGCAGATTTAGATGGAGGCATCAACAATCTCCTGAATCAAAGGCTACCTGACAAACAGACCACAGTTTGTTGGACTTAAGGGTCAACTGTCTAATCAAGTAGTCACCAGCACAGGAGCACCACGTGGGGACAGTACCATTCCTTTTTACTCTGTACACGTCTGACTTCCAGTACCAGACAGAGTCCTGTCATCTACAGAAATATTCAGATGGCTCTGCAGTCATTGGGTTCATCAAAGAAGGATGAGAAGATAACTGCAGAGGGCTGGCTAAACATTTTTTGGCATGGTATGGGAAAGATAATCTGATCCTGAATGTCACCAAAACAACGGAGATTATTGTAAATTTCAGAAGAAAGAGGAACAATTTGAATTCGGTTAGCATCATGGAAGAAGAAGTGGAGATGGTGGAGGAATATATGTACCTTGATTACAAACTCGAATGGAGACACAAATGTGCAGTCGTTTACAAGGAGGGACAGAGCAGACTGTACTTCCTAAAGGAAGTTTATGTCCTGCAGCATTTCAAACAAGATGCTACA